TTCCAGTTTTAATCTCCGATTAATGTCTCCAATAATTAAGAACAAAAAAAAATCCATTCATACTGAAAACCTTCTGCAACTGTTCTCTATGTTTGGCACTGTTTTGGAAAGAACTGAAAAGGATGCCTTTGATGTACAAACTCTAACTGAAAGATTCTCCCTTGTGTTTTCATAAGTCAGTGCTCATGTTTCAGCTGCTAAAGCAGAAATTCTTTTCACATGTCAGGCAGGTATGAGTATATAGATACTGACTGAGCTTCTTTATAGCCACAGCTCAAACATTCTAATTATTTGTGGCTTTTTTTTCCCAATTATTATTACAGTTAAAATCAGAATTCATCATTAAAAGGCTAATTCTTTCAACGAATCTAAAATATATGTTCTTAGATACTGACAGCTGAAAAAAATTTATGAAGAACAAAAAGATATTGGGCACTTTCAGGAAAAATAAAAGCCTTTCAGCTGAGGATTCTAAGTACATCTCAAAAGTTAGAAAAGTATCAGTGCCAGACAGCTGGCATTAGGTAGATGAGGTCACTGTCTGTACTGAATTAGTAGCAAAACTCATGCAACACATCAGAGTCCCCACAATCCAAGCAGTTATCACTGTTTTCTCTTCAGCAGTGCCATATGTGAAAGAAAAATAACTCTGGTTTTCCTAAGTAACCCTGCAATCTTGTCATTGTGTTTAGAGCATAAAATATTTTAAAATTCTGGGATCTGAAACTGTCTCAAGCTCTAGATTTATTCGGCAGAGCTTTTGAAAATTATTGGCATTAGCTTACAAACTAATTTAATTTATGTTCATTAGCTCTGGAATGACAACTAATTTGATTCTTATTAAATCTAGGCAATGGTCTTTTTTCATATGGGCATTGCTCATAATAATCACAAGGGATAAAACAGGTGTAGAGAGATGGCCAAACATCATCTTGCAACAGCAAAGACATGTTCCTTAGGGCGATGCACACAGTCCTTTGCAAGGCAACAGCTGTACAGCAAAGGAGTAGACAGAACTGTTCCCGCCAGGTACCTGAATAAATGAAGTGGAGGATGTCTGGGAGACAGGAGCAGAAGGCAGAATCCTTCACCATCACTCTGACTGGTGGGATGCAGGGTGGGACGCCACAGGGGGCTGGGGACAAGGCAGGCTCTGCCTCCACCACAAAGAGGCTCCGTGCCATCTGCACAATGGAGGCGTCATGGATGTCATCTGGGCTCTTGACCTCGAAAAGCAGCATGAAGAGGTGGCTGACAGAGCAGAGGATGACCTTGTGAGCCTCCACCACTGTGCTGAGGTCTTCAGGGTAGAAAGCCACGTCCGCGCACTGGCAACAGCAGAGCAGGTTGTGCAGGTCTGCATTGTAGTGAGAGGCTTCACTCTTCAAGATCGGCATTTTTTCTGCTAAAGATAATGAGTCAGGCTGTAAAATTGAAGCAAGTATTAACCACAGGACAGCTGACCTGGTCAAATGAAGGACAATTTTTGAAAGAAGTATTCAATAAGAAAATTTCTTATATGCTATTTGAATGTCTTTAAGTAAAATATTCTAAAAGCGGATATAGTCTAATAAAATAATATAAGAAATACATCCTTTAGTAGTGTCTTTCCCTTTATGAAACCTCTTTAGTCAGTTACATTAAAAAGAAATCTTAACTGTGTATCCCAAACATAAGGGGTCTGAGCAAATTTCTAGCAACTGTGAGAACAGACAACTACAAATTTAGAAGTAACTACTTGTCAGTAATTATTTCACTGAATAAATGTATCAGATGCCCAGAAATCAGATGCAGGGACATAAATCTCTGCCTTGCTTTATGTGCAGCAAATAAAAACATTGCTCGATGATACTGTAGAATAACAATTCATAATCTAAGAACTCTATTTTGTAATTTCTAAAGCTTTTATGTAAAGCTTTTATTAATTCATGTTTTCATTATTTCATCAAGTCCCCCAGAAACCCACTCCTATTAATTTTACCTAAAATGAACTAGAAGTCCATAGCAATATTGCATATTGTCATACAATTCTCCCCAAATTAATTAAACCATCACTAAAAGATGATGCAACTAGAGCAACATAACCAGAACAGCTGATGATAGATGGCACAGCTCACAGTAACAACTACAAATGTTAATTGCTTAAAGAACATGACACACATAATGAACAATACTAGAGAGGAGACATCAGCAAGCACCTGGCTGTTCAAGCTGAGGTGGTTGGACTCGATGGCACTTCTTTGACTTTTTCCTTTTCTTCATTTTTTCAGATGACTTCTGATTCAAACTTTGGATCATAAAATATTCCAGCTAAAATACAAAATATTTTTTTAAAAATACCCTAGTTATTTAAGAACAACCTAGACAGCAAACTAAGGATCACAAGCAAGTCCTGTATGTACCTGTAAGCTACTGACACTATGGCCATCATAGTCATCCAGCAGAGTCCCAGCTCTCCTTTACCAGAAGCTACTGTCTTCCAGCAAAATTAGTGTAATTTAAAAGACTATTTATTCAAATTATGGTGGTTAATTCTTGTGTATTTAATCTTCCTAGAAATGGCAGACAGAAAGATATTAAATTTGCCACTCTCTGTAGGTACTAATCTTTTTGAGATGCCTAGTCCAGCTGGTTTTATCCAGAAAGATGAAAGGAGGAATACAAGTGAAGAAATTATTGCAGTGTGTCATATGGGTTTCCCAAACATTTCTAGTTAAAATAGGAGCCACTTTGGTACTGCCAATTCAGCCAGCATCATGGAATCATAGAAACCTAGAATGATTTGGCTTGGAAGGGACCTTGAAGACCACCTGGTTCCAACTCCTCCTGCCCCATCCAGACTAGCCTCGAACACTTCCAGGGATGAGACAGCCACAAATTCTCCAGGCAGCCTGTGCCAATGCCTCACCACCTTCACAGCGAAGAATTTCTTCGTAATACCTAACCTAAATTGTGCACTAGTGTGAACACGCACTTGGTGGAAGGGCTCATGTTGTGACTTCACTCACTCTCCAAAGCCCTGACATCAGTTGTCCACCACTCACGTGTGCCACCTTGCTTCCAGCCTAGTGGATTCTCACTCACCACTCCTCCAAAGTACTTCTGTATGTAGAAGTCATTAAGAGTATGCAGTTCGAGGTAAGTGGCTCCTAATTCCTTCGCAAGCTGAACTCCCTCAGAGGTTGTGACACAGCTCCTCCGGTCTGAAGTGCACAGGGGACAGGTGCAAGGCACTCCTGGGGTAAAAAAGTGATGCAAAAAAAAAAGCTATTTTGGTCAAATAATCCAGAATTCTTGGATTCCTAAATTATTGTTATGATATCTTGGTTAGAAAAGAACAAAGAGGGAAACAGAAACATAGTAAAGTAAGAAATCTCTTAATTCTTGAAAAAACCGACTTCTTATTATTCAGTTAAAAATACTAGCAGCTCTGCAAAGCTCAATACACATTACATTAGCACTACTTTATTGGTTTTTCAAGGTGGGAAAGTCCCTCCCGACTTTCAGAAGCCTTTATATGCCTCAGTCTTGTATTAGACTGCAGGTGTTACCATGCCTTAATGTCACCTTAAACCCATCTGGTTATTGTGGCCTGTCCATACAGGAAGCATGCACAGTAATGGAAGGGGAAAATTTCCAGTCTAGACCAAGCTGTAATGAGCATGTACACACTGTGGAATATGATTCGATGACATACTTTACATATATTTTTTTAAACCCAAAATAGGTATTTTTAAGACTATGCCAGTTAACTGTTAAAAAATCTGTTAGCCACCCTGGCTCATCTTTGCTTAATGCCAGTAAGAAATTGTCAGCCATGAATGTGCTTTTGAATGTATTTTCAAATGTTCTGTATGTGTTCCACGTTAATGTTCTCTGCCCAGGATCTATGGACAACATGTAATAAAACACCTTGCTTTTTTTTTTTTAAATTTGTTTTGGTAGGGCCATTTACCACTACAGAGGATTAAGATCTTTGCAATTTGTATGAGCAAACTGCTGTGTTCACAAATACCTCCTAGAAACAAAAAGGGTTCTGTGTGTGCACAGCAGTTTGCTCTGACAAGTCCCGGAGCAAACCCAGAGGACTGACCTGATGTCTCCCATCGCCGTTTAGCCAGGCAGAGAGAAAAAAATGCACGTGCAAAAGAAAAAAAACCTGAATAAACCAGTAGTAGGGTCACTCAGTTTGGTGGTATCCTGTGATTAAACACAAAGTGTAAGAAAAGGCAAGGAGAAGACAGTTTAGCAAAACCTTGCCTTTAGAATGGCAGATTTGTGACCCCTGTATAGATCAGACCATAAAGTAATTTGGTCATTATCAGTGAATTACTAAAGGGAAGAAAATAAATATTTAATTATTATGGAACTCTTTAACCGCCATTAACTGTCACTGAGCTGAAGGATATATATATATAGCTGGCAAAACTACATCTGCAGAAGATACACTTCATGTAGCTGAATATTTCTGTGTACATTATAAAATAAATGTCTCAATCTACATCCATCATGTCCCTTACCCATTAAGAGGGATGCTCAGAAACACTTGTTTTAGTCAACTCATAGAGTAAAAGACAAGTCAGGCTTGTGTTTTCATTCATGGCTTTAGGAAAAAAAAATAATTAAAAATCAGGCCCCATGACTAAGAAGACTATATGAAAGTCAACAAAAATAGAATGAAAAACATTTGGAAATACAGAATAAAGTATGTAAGTTTGTTCGACTGGCATCTGTGGTACTTCTTCCAAACTTTAACTGCCTGATGTAAAGAGACAGGAGTTCCTAAGGTCTGCCGAAAGGCCGAACTTGTTCCCATTGCCCTCACACTGCCCTCATTAGCTGCTAGATGGTTTTGTCAGTCCACTCTGTCCTTACACAGCTGTGAGAATGTGATTTCCATATTGATTAATCCGCCACAACAACTTAAACATTCTGTGTAAAATCGATTTTGTTGTTCTCATAGCAGACTGCTGATCAGCCCGGACAGGACACTGTGTGAACATGTAAGCTATACCTCAGCTGTACTATATCTACACCACAACTACTCTGCCGCAACTGATGCAGCAGCATGTCACACTTTGTGGTACCCAAAAATCTGGTGTGTCCATTCATCTGATGACATCCCAGAGCATTTCATGACTTTTCCCACACTCTCCAGTGTTTGCAAACTGGTGGATATAATTTTAATCTCACCCATTAGAGATACTTTATAGCTGAGTGAAGACCAGAGAGAACTCATAACCGTACTGTATGCTCATACACCCAAATGTATGCTGCTTAATCCAAAGTACTATATTTAATCCCCATGTGTAATGGCTCCATGAGAAGAGTCTTTGCAGAGGTCAAAGAAGGATCGGTTGCCTTTCATCACCAGGGTTAAGTAAGCACAATGTGCTTGCCAATACACCAGTCTACAGAGCCATAACACGTGCATATTACTCTTGTCCTGACAAACTAATTGTCAGGAACTTGGAAAAAACCCATCTCTTTAGACTGAAATTACTCTGTATCTAACTTCCAAATGAGATTTTAGCTGTTACTGTAGGAGGCTGGATACATACCGTTTTTTCTTGCACCAACAGCAGAAATTATTACCGGAACTGAGCTGTGCTTTAATGCTTTTTTTACCACTGGGACATAACTGTCCTTTAGTTCTTGAAATGAAGTCTTGTCATTGACAGAGTATTTAATCACGATAATATCAGCTCCTCCAATAAGTCTGCAAGAGGTGTAATAGTCGCTGTGAAATATGTCCTAAACAGAAAAAACATTGATCAAGAATTTACTGTCTACAAAGAAAAAAAAAGCGAAATATTCAATGTTCTTAATGCAAGCCTTACAGGAGTATTTTTAACTGATAAACTCTTATTTGAAGACATGCAACATAGAGCAGAATTCATCTTTTGTAATTTCCTTGTTTAAAGAACAAGTTACTCATTATAATAATAAATGTCTTCTATGAGTTCAGGAATTATTCAAGACGAAGCAAAAATAGGGTTTATCTAGAAATACTCATTGCAGGAAGAAACTTCACTGGTTCAATTACTTAACTTCCCAATTGTTCCATTCAGGAAATAAAACCAGCTTCAGTGGTAGAGGTTTGCAGCAATTCATGCAAAATCATTATTAATCACATGATTTTAGGGAAAGGATTACACAGAACTATACTATGTACTAAATACAGATTTCATACATTCATTGTGATTTTTATCGGCTTCACAAGAATTTCCATGTAGTTTTAACAATGTTAACGTCTTCAGTATAAGGGCTCCAATCTCATACATAAAATTTCTTTTTTGACTTCACATTGAATTTTTCATTGTTCTGTGCTGAAAGTGTAAGATTTACATTCTACAAATGTTTGATAACCTGTTAATTTAAAACTGTGCTGTATCCACATGTAATGCACAAATATTACTTGTTTATTTGTCATGAAACTATAATTCCATGATTTCTGCTTTACTTGAAGGTATCTCATAAATGCTAGGGAAAGCTATGGCTTTGCACATACGCTGAAGTAAAAACCCTTGACAGAAATGTGGACGTGGTCCACAGAACTGGAAAACAACTCAAAACCCCTAAAATACTTTCACGTCTTGGAACAAAGAGACCATTTTTTGTCCTTTCAATGCTTAAAGGGGGCTTATGAGAAAGATGGGGACAAACTTTTTAGCAGGGCCTGTTGTGATGGACAAGGGGCAATGGTTTTAAACTAAAAGAGATTAGATGTAAGGGAGATATTTTTTACAGTAAGGGTGGTGAGGCCCTGGCACAGGTTGTCTAGAGAAAGTACGGATGCCTCATCCCTAGAAGTATTCAAGATCATGCTGGACAAGGCTCTGAGCAGCCTGGTCCTGTGGAAAGTGTCCCTCTCCATGACAGAGAGGTTGGAACGAGATGACCTCTAAGGTCTTTTCCAACCCAGACCATGCTGTGATTCTGTGCTTCTACAGCTGCCCTGCATGGCATGGCACAAAACTAGAAGAACTTGGGACCTTGAAACAAAAAAGAAAGGAAACTAACAATGATGAAATAAAGGTGATGTGGAAAAGAGGAAGAAATGAGCACAGAAGAAGTGACAAAAGGCCAGGACTCAAAGTTTGGGTTGGGGAGGATCAATCTGGTATTTGTAGAACAAGTCACAGAAATAAGAGCATCACAGATGGGAGCCAGAGAAATACATAAAAGATTACTAATATCAACAGGTGACATGGCTTGCATTGTCAATATAACTATTTTTGGGCTCTTCAAAAGGGTCATTGTTTGAAATCTGGTGAGGTAGCTGCCATGAAGTACAGTAAGTAGCATGACCTTGACGAAGTCAAAGGCAGTAAATATTTGCCTACACTGTCAGTCCACATCATTCCCAATTCATGTCTTGCCTTTACAAATAAATAAGTCAGGAAATAAAGTATAATAGGCATTCCCCTTGATTTCTTCAATAGATGTTCTTGTTCTACAATAAGTAAGTCACAATTATCAAGAATAGCTGTTCTATGATTAACAGTGTTGACAAGAGTGTTAAGCTCTTGGTATTTTTTTTTTTTACAAAAACTCAGAGTCTATTGTAATCACAGGCTAACAAAACCCTCAACTAGCATTTAACAGAACAATTTAGGCTCTGTTAAGAATATGACGTTTACGCATAAATGCACTTTTAGCACCCCTAGAAGTAAGCCTACCAAACACAGTGCTTTGAGAGCCGTTTAGATGGGCGTTTGCAGAGCCTGACCACATAGAGAGGCAAAAATTGAGAATTTTCAAGGGACAGGTTTAGTACATTTCAGCTGATGAAGGAAGGTCTCAAAGAGAATTTTTAGTAGGGTTGTATATATTTTACACAACAAAGGTTTAAGGGAAAAATGCAATACAAATCAAAAACTAACATGCAATGTTCAGCTGTTCTGTGCTGGCAGACAGAAAGCATGCTGAACCTTTAAAATTTCCTTCTAGCTGACCGTCTTCAAGCTCAGCCCAGGTTTGCACCTGCCTATCTCTACAAGTTTGGAAACAACCAGCGGTGTCATAAGCAAGGTGTAGAGCAGGGGTGCACAAATACACAATAACTCTGCCACAGCTTTAAGCATGAATAATAAAAAATATTTATGGAAATTGCTTACAGAATTTAATATGTATTTTTCACATGTGATATGTTTGCTGTATACGGCTTGTATCTCCCTCCAGTTTACAACAGAGCTAAATCTCCAGTGCATTTTCACACCAATTCATGTTACAAAGCAAAGATTTCTGGAAGATTTCTAAGGTATTGATCAATATAAGCACAGCCACACCCACGTAAAGAACCAGCTCTGACTTCCATGCTTACCATCAGTATAAACCTAGTCCTGACCTGAAGCAGAGGACAGGACTTCTAGATGCCAAACTGCATTGAGCTGTGGCTCCATTCTGACACCAGTCTCACCAGCAGCAGAGTACAGGTCACCAGATAATTGACACAAACCCAGACACACACACTGCTCTGACCTCAGCTCTCATCCTGGCTCTCCAAGGATCATCCAGTAAAAACACTGGCCTGGCAGGCTCCCTGTGCCCTAACCTCAATCAGTGGCAGCTCTATGCCTTTCTTAGAATCACATTTACATTGGAAAAGACCTTTATGGTCATTGATCCCAATCATTAACCCAGCGCTGCCAAGCCAACCAGTAAATCATGTCTTCAGGCGCCACATCTACATGTCTTTTAAGTCCCTTCAAGGATGATGACTCCACCACTGCCCTGGGCAGCCTGTTCCAGGGCTTGACAAGGCAAAGAAATTTTCCTGATATCCAATATAAACCTCCCCTGGTGCAACATGAGGCCATTTCATCTTATCCTATTGTTTGTAACTTGTTGATGAGAATCTCAGTAGAGTATGTTCATGCAGACGGGTTTGCCTGCATGTGCCTGCTCAAGTGCGTAACAAATCAGTGACTTAAAAGGTCAATAAAACATGGGGAAAAACCCATAGAGGTTTGGTTTTTCTCCTAGTGAAAATAATACTAATAGGAAAAGCAGTTCTATTCTGGAAAACAAAACAAACAAATAAACAAACAAAAACCCAGCCAAACAAACAAAACAAAAATGTGGCCATTGCCTCATATCATTACCCAACCTTTTTGTATGGAGTCCAACTTGCTATATTTCCATCTCTGCAGGTATGAGGAAAACTAGTAAAATCCTTACTGGAAACAGCCACACAGGTGTGCAATTGCACCTCTTTGTTTAACTATTAGAAGAAATAAATCCTATAGAAATGCTGTCAGAGCATTCCAAATGTGTGTGGCTGCATGTCATAGCAGGTTTGTGGGAATTTGTGCATTGTGCTACCACCATTTGTCTCTGTTAATCCTATCAAGAAGGACTTTGTTAAATTTATGAAGTTCCAGTAGGGACGGATCCTGCTGTCTCAGGGCAAGGACTAGACCTGGCTACATCAAGAACTGAAAATTGCAGAATGTGCCAACCCAGCATCTCAGGACACCCAATTTCTGCTACTGTTGTGCAGTTTCTGTATGCCCTCACATACTTGATTCAACATCCCTGAAAGCCCCTTCTAGAAAATGGATGTTATGTTTAAAAATTAAGAGAACAAAAATATGTTTCCATGCAACTATTTTCATTTTGCATCAAGCATAGCACAGATTGCTCAGATTGCTGCTCTGTGCTGGGAAAATACTCCAAAAGCATCTTAAACAGCAATGTGATTTTTGCAAAAGGCATCACTGAGACACAGCACCTGGAGCCTCCTTCACTAGCACTTTCAGGGAACCTTTAATACAAAAATGACAGGGAATTTCTTCAGATGATGAACAACAGTTTAGATTCAGGAATAACCTTAATTTCAGCTAATCCTCATCATGCTTTCTGCTCTTGGCACAGTCCACTTCCAGAGACAAAAGGAAAAACTAACTGCATAGCTAAGGTTATTATAATATAACCTTAGTAATTATACTTCTGTTGCTATTCCTCTCAGGACTTATTAGGAAAAAGTTTCATTGCATGCCTCCATTCTATGAGTCTCATAATATATTCTTACCATTAGTAAATCATACTTCTCAAGGTTAATGTTGAAAATAAAGCCTTCAGAGGCATTGAAGACATGATTTTCCTACAAAATCACATGATCCCTCAAGACAACAATACTTGCTTTGTTAAAAATGATTTATGAATGCCTTTATGGAATGGCAGTGAAATTCCTCACACAAGTGCCCTTGCAATGCCCACGCTCTTTCTAAAAGCTGCTCATAAATGTCCCCACATCCACGCAATGCAGCCTTGGTGTGAGGCAGCAGCAACAGCAACCACTCTTTGTGGAGACAAAGATGACTGGCCACCCTGCAGGACTGTTCCCCTGGGGCTTTCCCAGGATTCAAGAGATCTGCATTGGGAATATTGTAAAGTTCATCCCTCCCTAGGATCCATTTACAGTCTCCATTAACAGAGTCTTCTTTCCACTCATAGTCTCCGCTCCACATATGAGATCATTCTCCATTTATTCAAGGTTTTTCTGCAATTTCTTATCAGGTCTGCAGCAGGACAGATTTTATGGGTGTACTCTCCATAATTTACTAGTCCCAGGAACTTAGTCAGATAAGTAATCTACAGCACAGATGGAAGTATCTGCTACAGAAATCCCCCTAAACCTCTCCCTTCAAAAAGAAGGGTCATATTGTCCTGTGTCATCCTTTCATAAAGTAATTTTAAAATTTTCAAAAAGCAAAAATAAAGAACCCAGTAGGGAAAATAATTTACCAGGATACAAAGTGCCACTTCAGATATCCAAGATTAAAAATGAGACAGAATGACATACAGAAAAATGAAAAGTTACAAGCTATCATTTTGTACTGATACAGCAATTTGACTTTATTTCTAAAAATAATAAATTAAATTTAATAGTGTATCAGAATCCTTTACCCTTAAATGTGTTAAGGGCTGGCCAGCCTAGCCAGCACAAGGAGAACAAGAATTCTGATAAAAGAGAAGAATCCAGATAAATACACTATGGATAATACCATGGACATGAACAAGTGCACAGTGTTCAAGGAACTACTACTGTCGGTGCAGTTAAAAAAGCAGGCAAAAAAATCCCATGAAAAGACTCAAGGAATGAGATTATTGAAAGAAAGATTAAAAAGAAAATAATTAACACAACACATTTTCAAAATGCAATTAATGTATTTGAGCACTAGTGAGTCCTATGGAGGTCTGCAGCTCTGTGCAAGGCTCTAAGCAGTACGAACAGAGCACAGCATCCACCCTGTGCAAGTGCCTAATCTAGCACAAGGCAAACCCCAAAACCCAGCTGCTCTATTTTTCCCTTTTGGGACATGTCTGATACTGGGAATTTGATGATGCCAGTGATTCTCTAGAAACTGAGTAGTTTTTATAAAATAGGGGAAAACCAAAAAAAATTCTGGAGGTATTGTTTCCTGGGAAAAAAAGAAGACCAAACAAACCAAGCAAAAAACCACAAAACCAAACCAAACAACCAAAACCAGATGGTTCACAATGGAAAAAAAAAATTTAAAAGACAGTGAGACCCCCAGCCTACGACAGAAACACTCCCATATCCTTATAATATTGCTCCAAGTAAAGGAAGGAAGAACAGGAGTTAATGCAGGTAGTGAACATGCACAGAGAAGTTTTCATTTTCCAGCATCATAATTAAATTAATAAAAACATGAATTATAGATTCTATGCTATGCTTTATTCTGGAGTTGAGGAAGATTCACTTGCCACTAGATATTAAAAATTTTGCCTGTGTATTTTTTTTCTGCAGAAACGTAACAAAGTTCAGTGTAAAGTGACTGAAATTGCAAGATATGTGCAAGGCAAGAAAATGGCAACTCAGCCCTGAAGACTATCACATCTAATATAGAGTGTTAAATAAAGCAACCTTTTCCAAAGCAAATCTTCAAATTCTTCTTGCAAATTACTCCTTGTAAGTTACTAGCCCCATATTGAGGTTTACCACTTCAAAATTAGAAAAAATGGAACATAATTGTTCAACATGCCTTGTGATAACACAACACAAGCATGCATTAGCAACTAACCGATCAGCTACTAAACCACAGTATTCAGCATGGATGTTAATACGTATGTGTTTTCCCTGGTTCTTTTTATCTTCTCTCATTCTAGGTCTGCATTTTTTGACAAAACGTTTTCCACCCACGGGAAACAGAAGGATGTTCATCCAATTGTGTATCTGTTCCCTGCAGACCAGGACACTGCTCTGCCGGAGCAGGGCCATAGTGGTACTCCCAGAAAATGACACACACACGGTAACCTGGCTTCTGAAACACTGATGATTTGCCCCCAGATTTTGAAAAGTATGGTGATCCACCCCTGTCTCTACAGCCCCATATCATCTGCATGAATCCTTCCCAAAGTCAGCACTTCCATCCTGCACCCTGCAACTGTCACAGGAAGCCGAAATGCTCACAATAGGCTGGTTTACATGTTGGCAAACATTAATTCATCTTTGTAGTTTCCTAAGCCAAGTAATATCAAAGAGTACAGTACCCTCACAGGTGTTAAAATATTTACGGAGATGCTATGTGAAAACAGCAGTCCCACAGCATGCTGGAAAACATTCCCCTGTGTGTGTCTGTAACACTTGATGGGCACTGCCTTGGCTTATCATGCCCAAGAAGCCATGATTCCTAGCTCAGCAGGACAGTTTGGCTGTCACCTTCAGGCACCTTCAGCTTATAAACTACCACATGGTCACAGCAGCTCTTCTGCCATTTCACTGACCCTGTGCCCACCAGGGCAATGCCACCACATGGCCCAGACCTTTCACATTTCTCTGATGCATCAGTGCATGAGCACTTTGCAGCTGCTGGAAAGGTTTGCTACAGTCCTTTCAAAAAATATATATAGTACACGGTAAGATGCCCTGTCTCATAATATCATCATCAGAGTGCTCTTGTCATGAAGAATACAACCACAGATACTTGAGCTGTTAAACCTCCTGCAGACTCAAAAGACACGTACAACAGCAGACTGGAACTCAAGCAAACCCACCCTGTACCACAGTCTGCCACATAAAAGGGTCCTCCTGTGCACTGGGAAGCTCTACTCAGTAAACTCACTTCCATGCTGCTTTTTCAAACTGATGGCTGTGGAGGACAAAGAGCAGCTGGGCACTCTTGAGTTCCAAGACTCACAGGTTATCAGCATAGTCAGTAGCCAAGTTTATGTCTAGAACTGGCTTGCCTTAATCATATGGATTTAATCTAGATGAAATACAAATCTCAGGTAAAATGTAAATCCACCTTTGTGTAATGCGCAGATAACAGAGGACAACAGACAATGCAAGGTCCACCATACAACCACCTCTGTGTTTCAGTGATATGCAACAGGGATCCTTTTCCCTGCAGAATATGATTCGGTGCAATGTCTGTCAACATTTTTAATTGTCCTGTACTGTTTTCCCAGGCTACCAGAGGAACAGCACTGAAAGGAACATTGTGACATAACAGCAAAAACCAAGCATCCAGACCATGGAAAACAGTCCTGTTCTGCCTAACCCTAGCTGATAAAGGGGAGAAAACTCCAAGACCTCAGAAATGCAGTGCCTCAGACGTAAGAGCTAGCTTTTGAAGGGCAAAAATTATAAGGTTTTCAGAACCAAAGAACCTTGTTCTGCAGCAGAGCAAATGCAAATAAACCAACACAAAACCCCATCAATACATCTCCAATCTAGGTCTTTTCTTCCCCCTTCTTCAGCTGTCCCCACTTGCCTTCCCATCTCCGTTCCCTTCCCCCTTTCCTCAGAAACAGCCTTTGAAGTCCTACAGCCTTAATTTACATTCAGGACATTTTACTCATTTCTCTGCTCCAGTGACTCCAGCAAACTGCACGTGCAGGTCACATGTAGCTTCACAGATTAGAAACAGGATCCACCAGTCCATCTGAACTGTTGTCTGAAAGTGCAGCTGGCAGAAAGAAATAAAGAACGGAAGCACAGCTTGACTGCATTGTTTAGTTTTGAGATTTCCAGCTTCTGATCATGTATTTCATGTAACTGGTAGGATTACTGCAGATCTTAAAAAAGGTTTCCCTTACAGGAGTACAAAAATCACCCTAAGGATAGAATTATGGAGCTGAAACTGATTATTGTTTTAATTTCTAAAAGCTGCTAAGCTGAATTTTTTTTAAGTCTACTAAGTAGCCATTAAATATGTTTTAATTTAGATTATCAGTATCATTTCTTACATAATCATCGATCTGCTCATAACCAAATTATCTCATTTACTAACAGAAGTTCTGACAACTTACAAGTGTGTCAAAATCTTTTTTATTTACTATCAAATAAAGAAAATAATGTTCAGATGTGATTATTCTTCGTAAGAGAAGCAAAATTACTCCCTATGCTGTATTTTCCAAGATAACAAATCTTTTAATCTGTCATTTCTTGGAACTAGAAAACTTACTGCCTTTTCATTTTTACAGGGAAAAGTTTTATTTTCTTGTTTACCTCTGGATCATCTTTAATAAAATTTCCACTAAACAACGCTGTTGAGAACACCACTTTTCTTCAGGGGAGACAGACAGGGGCTTGTTAATGGGAAACTTCCTGTAGCACCTTTGAGATTTTGCAGCACTTGCCTCGTTATCTTGTATAAGTTTTTACTATTGGAAATAATTAAAATATGAATAAAATCCCACAACAACGAAAATAATTTAAAATTATGCTGCATTTTCACTTTACTAAAACAGCTTACACTGTAAAGTGCCATTAAAAGGACTAATCTCTTACCCAGACAGGACAGTCGTGTACCACCAGTCTGACATTTCCAAACACACAGGCTTGGTACTCAGTAAAAACTGGGTTTCCAACATGACTGGCAGACAAGCTGCTGTCGATCTGGGAAATGAGAGCACTTCTCCTGAGATAGCTCCAGATCAGACTTGGCTGCTGGTTGTCCTCAGAAAAACCATCTCTTTCATATCCAAAAGCTACGATATTAACTGACCTAAAATAAAAAGAATAAAGACAAAGTTGTGGTAACAAAGATGAAGGGCAAGGATAAAGGGGGGGGAGGGGGAAAATAAAATCCCCTTAAATCAAAACTAACATATTAATCCTTCCGAATCCTCTTCCCTCCCTAGATTTTAACGCCCTCCCGTAATCAACAGCAAAACACATACATGATCTCAAATCCAACAGCGGGGTGAGAGCAAAGCAGAAAAGAAACCTGGAAAGGCTGCTGGCATTACAAATCCCCAGAGGACGGGGCTGTCACTCGCCGGTGTCGCTC